CTTTTTAATTTATTACGTAATAAATTTTATTGTCAATATTATTATATAAACTTTAATTTTTATTTTATGATTTCAAAATGATAATATATTATATCAAAAAATATGTACGTATATTCCTTTTAATTAACATTAAAACGTGCTTACATTTGACTTGAAGCTTGAATCTCTTAGATCGTGCCGGAGGTATTCCGTTATCAGCATTGCACATATAGTCGCCCATGTGTTCTCGGTTCACCAGACTGATATTGAACGTATGGCCCGTAACTGAGCTCGCTAGAGTCACAAGATTTATGGGAAGATCTGTTAATTCCGCTCCATCTGTTCGTTACTTATGATTGAATTAAAGAATCCGTTTATACCATGCCAAAGGCCCATCGGTATCATGGAACCGTCTGCTTTCATCCATTGTATAACAGGCTGAGGTTTCCCACTCGCGGCACATCTCAGTCGTATTTTGCTACCTTCTTGCACGGAAATCACGCCACTTGAGTTTAACGACGGTGTAATCTCTGTAAAACATCAATTTTCAAAGATTGTGAAATCTTTGATAAAAAATGCAGAGAGGAGATACGCAATTACGATAATCAATGTGATGGAGAATTATTAAATTTGTCTTGCGATAATATAAAACATATATGATATAATGTATAAACAATATAAAATATAATAATATAATAAATGTAATAAAGAATGTGTAAACAAATGCAGTTTGTGTTTCTACAATTCAATATCTTATTAAAAAGAAAAAAAATAATGATTTTGCTAAGATAGTGAAATAATTCTTACCTACGATGGATGGCGGTATTAATATGTCATTCTCGTTGTAATCATTCATGTTTATTTTGTATGCCTGTATGCCTGATTTGCCATCCTTTCCAGGTGCTCCTGGATGACCAGGTGGACCTATATCTCCTAAAGCATGAACAAATTGATTAGTAAAATATTTATAAAATGAAGAAATGGTGATAATGATCTAGTGACGTTACTTACCGCGAGATCCTGGTGGTCCTTGAGGTCCCGTTTGTCCTGGTCTTCCTATATGAATACAAATTGTTTAATCAATCTTTCATTTGTGAGATATTACGAAAAATATTTATACTCTGCTATTAATATTTGTAATATTACATAATTTACAACTTAATTAAAGAGTAAAAATTTTGACATAAAGACAATGTGTCTTATAAACTTAAATTAGTAAATTAAATCTAATTTAAAGGAACGTAGAAAAAAATTTAATTCAACAAATTAAAAAGTTGAATTAAATTAAATTAAATGTTTCTCTCTTCTCTCTTCTCTCTCTCTCTCTCTCTCTCTCTCTCTCTCTCTCTCTCTCTCTCTCTCACGCGCAATAATTAATATACATTTTTTAAATTAAAATATATTATAATAAAAAATAAAAAAAATTTTGTAATTATTAAATATTGATATTCATTGTAGAAGCGATAATTTTAATATAAAATTTTTAGTTTATTATTCGTACACGGAAAAAAATAGGGTTTCCTACATAATTATTTTAATGATCTAATAAAATTACCCATACAGAGTTTGAAGCAATATTATTGCAAAATCTCAAAATTGCTGCAATTTTTATCCAACTTTGTTGTAGAGATATGAATCCAGATTTATATATATTTAAATTTTTAGTACTTCAGCAAAGTGCATTTTCTCGCATCAAAATTTCGAGTGCAATTACATTATCAAGTAATTATATATTCAAACGTACCGTCTGTTCCGTTTCTTCCAGGCGATCCAGGCAATCCGTTTGCACCTGGCTTACCGTTGCTCCCGGGTACGCCGTCCAAACCACTTCTACCGGGAATGCCGTCCAAACCAGGCTCGCCCGGCACCCCATCTCTCCCGTCGAAGCCAGGCGGACCGATGTCACCCTTAGTTCCTCTGGCACCAGGATGACCGGGCTGTCCTGGCGGTCCTTTCGGACCTTCCATCCCTGGGACACCCGGCAAACCTTGTTCGCCAGGAGGACCTGGATTTCCGGGTGCGCCGGGGAGACCCGGTGGACAATATTTTGCAGATGAACGGCAAAAATTCTCGATCACATCGAACTAAAAGGCAGACAAATAGATACGTTATAGAATGCTTGATTTTATGGCGTATAAAAAATGAAAAAATAAAATCTTATATATTATATTAAAATTTTTTATACTGTAGTTATTTCTGTTGTAGTGAAATATTTCCGCCTGATTTTGTAAGCGTCTTGAGGTTTTTGGAATCTTTAGCTATTTTCTTTTTCATGTAACAATATATTTGAAATATTTAAATTAAAAATGAATTATCTCTATAAATATAGCTTTATTTAAAATATAAAGTATGATCCTATATATTACATACATAAGCGATATTTAATTCTTTAATCGAATTTTATTCTTATATTGAAATTAATATAATAATGACAAGAATATGTTTACATGGATGTTATCGTTATTTTAGTAGTATTATTTTACCCGGTAAAAAATTTTTCATGCATGAATATGTATAAATATGTATAAACATACATACACATGAATATTCATACATAAACATGTATAATTATATATGAAATATGTCTATACATGTTCATACATCCTTCTTTCTTTTGTAAAATTACTTTTTAGTATAATAGAAATAATAAAAGTAATATGTATAAAAATATAATGTGCAATAATATAAAAATATAAAAAATAATTAAAGAAATAATTTTCACATTTTTTTCACGTTTGTTTAAAAAAAAAACAAATTTGGAAAAATGTAATTGCTCATACATAATAATGCATAATTTTATATATAATTATACATAAATAATTTTTTTACATTTTTTTCAAACTTGATTTTTTTCTAAAACAGATAGTGTGAAAATTACCTTTTTAATTATTTTTAATGTTTCTACGTTACTATTATTATTTCTATTACATTAAAATAATTTCACAAAAAAAAGATGTATGGACATATTTCATATATAATTATATTATGTTTATGAATATTTATGCGTGTTATGTATGTTTATACATATTTATAGATGTTCATGCATGAACAATTTTTTACCGGATAGTAGCGTTTTAATTTAGCATTTTAATGCAGAAAATAGGTGTAACGGATACTTAGCTATCTTCTACACACGTAATGTTCTACATAGATGACGGAACTCGTCGAGGAACATCACAACTCGGCAAGTTTGAGGAGAGTATTCACGAGGATGTGTATCGCGAAACAGGGTAACTAGTTCTAACAATCACACAGAACTGACTTGTATTCGTGTGTCGGCGTTCAACCAGACCCAATCCTGACCTCCGGCTATCGTTGGCGAAGACGCGGAGCCGGATACCATCGGGGAGGCGGTTACCTTCTTTGTACCTTGTATCTCCTTGTCATCTCGGATCTGTAACCGAGCGGCCCGAGCAATCCCGCGATATTAAGGGAGAGAGATCTGAGATATCCTCGAGGAATTAAATTGGCAAGTCAAAGTCCCCGCAGTTAGGAAATCTCGAAAATTAAATGCTGGGGAATTAAGACACGAAATTTCTCTTTTTCAGCAAAATTTTTTAGAATAATTTCTCTTTTTTCGTATATTTTCCCTTATTTCGTGTAATTAGTGCAACTGCGTAAAGTTTTAATTCAGATATTTTGTATGCTTTCTGTTTTTCATTGCCCTTAAAAACATTTAAGGTAATTAACTGGAAGATAGTCATTAACTACTTATTTTAAGTATTAAAAATACTAATATTTAGTGCTTTCAATATTTAAAACAAGTAATATCACTA